ATTATAAAACACACATCGAAATTCTTTTATAATTCCAAAAGGTGCAATACCCAATGAATAAATGGCTATATTTTCATAATTTTAATAAATGCATCAAGATTCTATATTCATCAATATTCATAAAGCTATGACCACATGAAATAAAAGGCGAGATATGCAAGTGGTAAGGGACTTTCTTTACCTCTTAGTTCATGACAGATTTTAATTGTATAAAAATAAGTAAGGATATACAGGATATAAACAATAAACAGTAAGGTTCACCTAACTGATATTAAATTCTATACCCTGAAATACCTTTGCAAGTGCTTATCAAACACATTTATTATGCTGTTTCAAAAATAGAAAGTGCAAATTAGATACTATTATCACAATGCTATTAAGTTAGGAAAAAAAACCCTTCTAACTGGAAATTTTTTTTATATATATATTTTATTTATTTTTTAAGGAGAGGAAGGGAGAGAGATAGAGAGTTAGAAACATCGCTGAGAGAGAAACATCGATCAGCTGCCTCTTGCACATCTCCTACTGGGGATGTGCCCGCAACCCAGGTACATGCCCTTGACCGGAATCAAACCTGGGACCTTACAGTCCGCAGGCCGATGCTCTATCCACTGAGCCAAACCGGTTTCGGCCTAACTGGAAATTTTTATTTTTAATTAAATCATTTGGGCCAATGGGAAAATACAAGTAAAAGTTACATAGTGTCTAGAAAAACAACAAAAATGAAAATACTACCTATCAAAATCTTTAGTATACATCTAAAGCAATACTCAGAGAATTTATAGTTTCAATGCTATAAATAAATAATTAAGTACTCATCTTCAGAAATTAGAAAAATAATAAAATAAACCAAAAGAAAATAGGCTAATTAATGAATATAAATGCATACATTAATTAATGATATAGAAAATATGTAATAATACTGGCTTAAGAACAAAGATAGCAAAATATCCAATGCTGGAAAATTACATAGAGACCACAGAAACAGGAGAACTAAAGGAATTATTAGGGAATATTACATGAAGATAATCTGGGTAATATATTTGAAAGCCTAGAAGAAAGTTATTACTTCGTAGAAAAATATAAATTTCTAAAATCAAGGTGCAGTTGGAAATTAGAATAAATCAATTAACATTAAATTGGGAAAGTGAAGAGCTACCAATGAAAATGCCAACATAAGTTTAGTTTTATCTAACTTTTGAGGGGAAAAAAAGATAATTCTAAAGATATTTAAACTTCTGTGCCACAGAAAACAATTAAACTTTAATGTTGTAGTTTGATAAAGATAGTCCAATAAGAGTAAAACCACAGACCAGTCGTAGCTCATAAATATTGATACAACGATTCTACTTAAGTTTTTCTTCAAGAATCATAGAAATGTACACTTGAAAGCTATGTAATCTTATTAACCAATGTTACCCCAATAAATTTAATTAAAAATATGTAAATAAATAAATATAAAGAAGAAAGAGAATGGTAGCAAATATAACAACATATTAACATTTAATCTAGGTGCTACATATAGAGATTATCTATAATAATCTATAATAATAAAAGTGTAAATCGACCAAACAGCTGAACAGTGGAACGACCTTCCAGATGACCACGCTATGACATCTACTGGTGTCAGGCCAGCCAAGATGGATGCAATGCGATTGGTCGGGGGGCCCCACCATTGCCCCACAGAGGGACGCCCAGGCCACCAGCCGACAGGGCGATCAATTGGGGGGCTCCGTGATCACCCCAAAGAGGGAGGCCCAGGCTACCCTGCAGCGGCACTGTGGCAGGTGGGTGGGGCCTCCCTCTGTGGGAGCCATCCATCGCAGAGCTCCGGTTGGGTGGGCAGGGCCTACCTCTTTGGGGTGATTGATCGTGGGGCTCCTGGACTGCAAGAGGGCGTGGGTTGGGCTGAGGGACCCCCCTCCAGTGCACGGATTTTGTGCACCAGGCCTCCAGTATATGAATATTTTTGAATGTTTGAAATATTTTACAATTTATTTAAACAACCATATCTCTATTACAAAAATCCTCAACATGCTCAATAAAATATTTGGCAGTATTAAAATATATGTTCTAAAGTTTTTAAATTATACTCTTCCCAGAAATATTTTCTTTTAATAGAATCAGAAATTTGAGGTAATAGGTAGCAGGGGTTTTGTTAAATGCAAGGAGAGGTTTTCTTTGGGTAAGGAGCAGCCTTGATATCATACTACATAAGTGTGACACTTCCTTTGTGTAACAATAGCCTATTTGGCATTTTTCACATACTTTCTGATTATATATACTTTAAGCATTGTGATTTTTATAGTAGCAGTGTTTCCTCCATAGTTTACTTCTCACATTGAGATACACATACCCTTTAAGGCAGGTAGCATTGGGCAAGAGTACCCAAAATCACAGACTAAGTATGGCATATGTTTCAGGAGTATAAATTTTTATTGAAGATTAGGGATGGGACTAGTTAACTCTGGTCATGTATGTTTTATGTTAAAATAAGCATAGCCATATTATGGAATAAAATTAAAATTTTTCATAAATTCTATCTAATAAAAGAGTAATATGCAAATTGACCATCACTCTAACACACAAGTTGGCCACCCCCATGTGGTCAAAGATGGCCGCCACAAGATGGCCGGCAGGGGAGGGCAGTTGTGGGCAATCAGGCCAGCATGGGAGGACAGTTGGGAGGGACCAGGCCTGAAAGGGAGGGCATTTGGGGGTGATCAGGCCTGTACGGGAGGGCAGTTGGGGGCAACCGGGCCTGCAAGGGAGAGCAGTTAGGGGTGACCAGGCAGGCAGGGGAGGGCAGTTAGGGGCAATCGGGCTGGAAGGGGAGCAGTTAGGCATTGATCAGGCTGGCAGGGGAGTGGTTAGGGGCAATCAGGCAGGCAGGCAGGCAAGCGGTTGGGATTCAGCAGTCCTGGATTGTGCGAGGGATGTCCCACTGCTCATTTATTTTGTTCATTTGGCAGATCGGGCCTAAACGGGCAGTCAGACATCCCTCGAGGAGTCCCAGATTGAAGACATTGCAGGCTGGGTTTAGGGGACCCCCCCCCCCCGTGCACGAATTTCATGCACCAAGCCTCCAGTATAATTATAAAAACATGAGAAGTCAAAGCTATTTGTGCGTGTGTATGTGTGTGTGTGTGTGTTATGGGGCCTCTTTAAAATATTCCACCAAATCCCAGGAGAAGCATATAATTCTAAACTGCTGTTAGGAATATTTTGGTGGAAAAGTTTGAGAGACACTGTCATTCAATATCTTAGATACTGATTTTTATATCTTAAATACAAACATTTATAACATTTAAAACTATTATTAGATTACAACTATTTATAAATAAGTTCTAATTTAAAACACTTGTGTGTTTTGTAAAGCACTCTAATGAGAAAATACTTTAATTGTATTGCTAGATTATGCAAGAGTGATATTCAATAATTATTTCATTGTTGTAGATAGTTGTCAGACTTGGCTGTGACATTTGCCATTATGTTTGCTGTTTGTAATAAACATAAATTATCAAATAGCTCCTAATTTCCTGTAAAAGAAAAACTAAGATGAGGTACAAAGTTCCTGGATAATCTTAAAGACTTTTATTTTTCCTTACTTATCATAGTTATGAATTAATAATTATTTCACATTTCTTGGAGATGATTATATATGTACAAAAATACAGATGGCGGATTTATTGCCCCCAAAATAATAAAGATCATATGGCTGACAAAGCTGTTCTATATCTTTAAAAAAGGATTAATCATGCTTTACAAATGGTATTTAATTTTATAGGACTCTAGAGATAAATATTGCATATGATTAGATTTCTGGTAGGGAAAATTCATTCATTCAGAAAATATAGAACTGTTTGCAAGACAGGTATAGTAGATCTCCAATAATGAATCAGACAGAGAGAATCTGTCTTACCAGAGTTTGTAATAGGTAAGGGAAGTAAGCAATATTCAATTAGTAATATTATATAAAAGATAAATCAGAAAAAATCCATAATTACATGAAATCCATATTATAAAATATTTATATTATATCATAATTATTGAAAAAGGGTCTACAGATTGTATGAAAATTACTGTGAAGAACTGAGGAAAAAATGGGAGAGAAACCTGGAGGGGTAAAGAAAGTATGGTGATCACAAGCAATAGAAATTTAAGTTCACTTGTCTAGGAGATATCAAGGTGACTGAATACTTTATGTGTAACATGCCCTTAAGGTATTAGGCATAGGGAGAACTGTTATGTGACTTGTAAATTCTCAGGTGGTTAGAAGGGAAAATGACCTGAAAATTTATAGTTCAAAGGATTTTGTGAATTTAATTTATTAAATGGTTTCCAAATTACAAATTTCTTTTTGTATATTCCCAGTTTTTCTTTAACATGGAAGTCATCAAATTCTAAGTTCTAAATTAAAGAAATAAATGACATCTGGGAATCTTTGAGCATGTATATTCATTGGTGTAACAAATAAGATTTCTAATTGATTGGGAAAATGAGAGAACACTTATTTATTAATTAAATTTCAGGTTTAGGGATATTGAGATGTGTGTTTGCATATGTGTGTATGTGCATTTTTCAAATTACCTATATATATAAAAGGCTAATATGCAAAGTGTCCCATTGGGAGTTCGACCCAGAGACTGGGAGTTCAGTCGCTCGCTATGACATATGTTGACCACCAGGGGGTGGCGCAAAACAAAGGAAGGCCCCAGCCGGCAGCCAGAAGGCCCCAATCAGACCTGATCGCTGGCCAGGCCTAGGGACCTTATCCATGCATGAATTTTGTGCACCAGGCCTCTAGTCGAATATAATGTTTTACTCGCCCTCTTGTATCTCTCATTACCTGGAAATTAGTTATGGATAGAGGATGCTTATTTTAGGGATTACTATTGATATAGACAAGGAAGATTTTCTCATACTCAAACATTTATATGAACACATGAATGCATAAGAATAAGATTCTTTCTTTCTCTTTCTCTCTCTTTAATTTCCAGGCATAGATATTCTTCATCAACTAGGCCTTGGAGGCAAAGATGTAAGACACTCATCATCAGTGACTGCTACACCATCATCATCTACACCACTACCTCAGGGAGTCCATATAACAGAATCCGGTGTCATTTTAACAAATGATGCTTACATTGAGTCACCTCTCAGGAAAATTTTACCAGTCCACTTAGAACAGCCATTTACAATATTAATTGGGTTACAGTCACATAAAGTAAACAATGCATTTCTCTTCAGCATTAGAAATAAAAATAGACTGCAATTAGGAGTTCAATTATTACCTAAGAAAGTAGTGGTACACCTTGGAGGAAAGCAGTCTATATTTTTCAACTATAGTGTTCATGATGAGCGATGGCACTCATTTGCCATCACTATTAGAAACCAACTGGTCTCGATGTTCGTGCAGTGTGGAAAGAAATCTTTTAGCAGAGAGACTCTTTTGGAACTTCAGACATTGGATTCTAACAGTGTGTTCACCTTAGGAAGTATGAACAATGATTCTGTCCATTTTGAAGGAATAGTATGTCAGCTGGATATTATTCCTGCTGCAGAAGCATCTGCCAACTATTGCAGATATGTGAAACAGCAGTGCCGCCCTGGGACAAGCCTTCTTCATACAACTATCGGACCCGCTAAGATACTAGAAAACGCTGCCTTAGCTAAACCATTTGGTGAACATATACTGTCAGGAGACACACTTACCAAAGGCACAAACACTCCAAATATCATCAACAATGAATCTGCAATGGCATATAAACAACAAGAACACCAGACATCAAGATCTCAGTTAACTTCTCTTCACCCAGGGAATGTCTCTGCTGTGGATCGTGAGAGCCATGGGATTCAGGACAAAGAAATAATCACTGAGGAACATACTCAGACAAATCTAAGCCTGTCAATGACCCATCATCTCCTCAGTGAGGCAAGAATAAATACCCAGGAGAAATTTAGTTCTCTCTCAAATGTGTCCAGCAATTTAACACAACATAATGATAGAGTAACTGAGCCGATTCTGTTTGAGAAGATATCATCTATTCTTCCATATAAAAAACAAGGTACAGTTATTAATGGCAAGAAGGCTATCACGGCAAATCTACAAACTAATGAACTCATGGAACTGCAACAGATTTTAAATACAACCTTGTATAGAGTGACAGATGAGCCATCTGTGGATAATCACCTTGATCTAAGGACGGAAAGTGAAATCGATCCTGATGCTACTTATCCCATTGAAAATAGCTATGAAACTGAGCTTTATGACTACTATTACTACGATGAGGATCTTAATACAATGCTCAAAATGGAGAATCTCAGAGGGCCAAAAGGGGACACTGGACCTCCCGTAAGTTGTTGTTTTTTAAATGTCTTATGTACTAACTTACCATATGTTTCAAAAAGGATTCTCTAGATTGAACAATGCAGAACAGACCAGAACTGTCTCCAAAATGTATCTTGGCTACGGTGATTGGATTTTTGGTTGCTATAATATATCCAACCAGAATACAACCCTGGTTCAAATATTGCACTTTTTTTGTGGTTTTTATTGGCAGGCTGAAAAGGTTACTTAATTCTGGTAAAGTGGTGTAAGCTATATGTTTTTCTTGTTCAGTTGAAATTCAACCAGGAATTCAACTGCTAAATATAGACCAGCAATCTTTATTTAAAAGCAAAACCAAACCATAAGCTTAATGCATAGTCATGTTAGGAGAAGGATATAAAAGTTATAGTAGACCAAAGAAAAATACATCAATTTAAAAGCCTTTTAGCACAACAGTTTCAAATGAATTAAAACAGAGTGCAAAATTTGTTTGAGATAAATAATTTTGTAGTGAAACATTGACTGG